CAAAAAGTCGGTCTGGCGGAAGCATCACCCATAAATGTAATAATCAACCATAAATGTAATACTAACCATAAATACTATAAAAATCAACCATAAATTTAATAAAATTTTAACCCTAGATGAAATAATATGGCTCACCATAAATGTATAATGAATAGAATGTTATCAAATGAAGCATATGATTGTCAAAAGGTTGTAAGATGGTTAATTTTTGTTATAATAGCAAGAGAAGATTGGGTAATAATAAAACATACTCTTCCAAGCTTTCTATTCATATAACCAATCCGCTTTTCATGTATTACTTTTCCTTACTTCATGTATTACTGTTATTTAATTTCGCTATTATTTTGGTCAGACAGCTAAGAGTATTTTCCAGGAATGTCATTTTCAACTCAGTGAGAATTAAATTTTGCGATCCAGGCGCTGGCTTTCTCAACTTTAAAAAATCTGAACTTTTCTAAAATTTCTAGATAGTCACGAAACAAGCAAAAAGTATATCTAAAATTAACTTTAATGGCAAACTGGAACAAGCAAAACGCATAATTTGTTTGAAAATAAACTTTTAACAGACTTTTAACTTTTAACTTTCTGTGCTACAGAAAGTCTGACGTATTTTCACTTTTGTTTCCCTTAATTGTTTGGACCTTTGGGTGCCAGAGGGTTTGTTAATTTTATTTTCTAATTTTTTATGGATCCTGAGTGTTGGCGGTGAAGCGACAGAAGCTTCATCAAAATGTGAAGCGAGGTATATTTGATCATGCTAGAGTTTTGGAGATTTTGAGGGCAGATCTCCGGGGCTAACCTTGTTGCTAAGAAGTAGGGGAGTAACTAAACATTTTACGTTAAAGTTTGGTACTTACTCGAGCACGGCGTTTAAGTAAATACCAAAGTAACATGTGAACTTAATACACAAACTCATTCCATTTCTTTACTTTAAAGAACGATGCATAAAAGCAACTGCTTAGCTCATGTGAGTTTAAATCTTCCGATTCCTTTAAAATTTATAACTTTTAACAAAACTGCAACAAAGATTAGCTGAACTTCATAAGTCTTTTCTTCAAATGAGCTTCGACCTTTAAAGCCATGTCTTAATCGAGAAAGCTTCATTTGCCTAGCATCACGTTGATTCTCACAAATTACAACTCTGGTCACCAAAACGGCTCTTGAAATGTTAAAAACCTCTTTAACACCACTTGTGCCCATAAATAATGACACGAACTCGCTTTCATACGAGTTTCTATACTTATTACATTTATGGTTAAAATTTATTACAACATTTATGGTGAGCCAGATTATTGCATTAATGGTTAAAATTTTATTACATTTATGGTTAGTAATTTATTACATCAGGGTTGATTTTTATTACATTTATTGCGGGTATTTCATTTATGGCTGACTTTTATTACATTTATGGTTAATATTACATTTATGGGTGATACCATGTAGTGGCCGTCAATCGCCCGAACTTGACATTCACCGTATCGCCAAAAGTACACAAGCTTTTGATCATAAATGCTGTAAATGCACTGTCAAACAAATGCTCAAAATTTTTGGAAGGCAAAATTCTTTAATGAGCTATGCAATAAGGGCAAGTCTCGAGTTTTAATTCAACTGCATTGCTTTTCTTTCAACATACAGAAGCACGTGAAGTCACTTTTTTTTTTTACACACACACTATACTTTATTTTCATACACATCATTTTGCCATCTCCGTCCGCAAATAGCAAAAGCTAGACGAGGCGGGCGGAGAGGAAAGCTTACAGCAGTCATAACAGATAAAATTGTAAAGTAACTAAATAAACTATGCGGATAAATAAGAATTACAGAAAAACAAGCTAAAGTTACAAAATATATAGTCTTACAGAACGATATTACAAGACAAATTTACTATACCAACAACCTATCACTGAATTGTTAGTGCATTGAGTCGAGGATGCAGAATTTGCCATTTTTTGTAGGAGAGTGGGCACTTCAACACAATCGTCCTCTGTTTCCATTATCGAGATACTTTTTTCCATTATAGAAGATACTTTTTCAGCATATAACATTTGTAAGGGTAGAATTTTTGAGAAAATAAAGAAAGGCATAGCATGGGCTCTAGGTTCAGAAAAATACATCAAGCGAAGGACTCGTTTTTGAAGCACGAGAATTTTTCGTAAATGGGTTTGGCAGCTTTGACTTTCCTTTTCTTGTTTATGTGGAATATAATGCGGTCATATTGCATGTTAAGTTAACGAGTATCTGCGGCACTTTTACAATTTATCACACAGCTTATAACGATATTATTATTTTTTCCAGAAACATAATATGCATGGAAAGAGGAAGATGAAAGTTTCCTTTGTGATTTTAGCCGCTGTTAATTTATTTATGTATGTGAACTCTACCGAAAAAAGACGGATAACATGTGGTAAGAGATCGTCTTTTTGTTTATATTTTTATCTCTTAGACAGCTTAATTCCATCCCAAATTTGATACTACAAGTTAATTTCTGGCATAAACTCTTTGAATTCTTTCCTCATCGACTTTTTACGTCTTTTAATTTATCTTACTAGTAATTGACTTAGTGCTTGCCGTGTGGTGAAATTAGACCCTCCCAACATTTTTTTTTTCTTTTTTTTTTGTCAAATTTTGACCATTTAGCAAAGGTCTATTGATACATCTCAGAAGAACGCCTTAAAATCAGTAAAGCTGTCAAATCTAAGAGCCAAGGGTTGGCTCCGGAAATTTGCCAAGTTTTAATTTACAAAGTTTTGTATGACGAGGGAAGGCTTGTCCAAAATATACATGTGTGTAATCCACCCTGGAACGATCCAAAACCCCTTGATCATTTAAGCTTTCCGATATTTTTAAATTTCTTAAATTAGCTCCCTAGAGCTGTTTATCCCATTTAGCCTGGGATTTTTATTCGTCCCTGAGCCAGGGGAGGAGTTCCAAGGTGCTCCCTAGCACCCCTCCCACACCAATAATAATCGAAAAGTATCACGCTGATGACACGAAACCTAGCAGGTTTGTATCAAATCATCAGGCTAACAAGGTGGCACTGATCACAAATTAACTTACGACATGTATGACGTCATAATTACGGCGGTAGTTTAAAATTTGCATTTTCACTTTTTTTTACATGTTTTTCCTAGATTCTGTAAAACCAAATTAATTGGTACTTTCATTTAATTTTGTGACAAATGCAGAAATTTTTGCTGTTGTCGCTAAGAATTTTACGTTAGTAACACGCTCTGGGTGAGGAGAATTATGACGTCACATAACGTCGTAAATCCACCATTTTGTCATTTCGAGGCAGCCATCTTCATGGATTTTTAATTCCGCAGTTGTTAGTTAACGCTGAAATGAGCAAAACAATAGCATTTTATCTTTAAAAAAATTTGGAGGTTTTCCTGTCACCCTTTTAAGTTATAATTAATCAAAGTTAACTCGGTTCATTGTGCCCTCTCCTGCAGGCTGAATAACGTCGAAAAAAACATAAACGAGTTGTAATATAATATTTTATTCAACATGACGCAGGTTTTATTTACGATGGAAGCAAAAATGAATACGACGCAATCAAATCTGCAATCAACCACACGAGCGCCACCAGCAACGTTTCCATAGCATTGAACATTTTTCGCGTCTCTTCAGATTACAGCCTTTTTGACCAAGGTAAGTTATCAAGGTCAACTTTACCACTGGACTTGGAGATAACATTAGCTTTAAAGGAGCTGTCATTGTGTTACGAATTTTATCAAAATTCTAACAGTATGAACTGCCACTGAAATTTAGGGAAACATAAAGTAATCACTCAAAACATGAAAAGAAGGTATTAATAACAAAGCAAATGAAAAAGTAGAAATAGATGGACAAACTTGTAAAAGATTAAAACGGATTGAAATTGTGGGTTTTTGAAAACTTGTTAATAGCCTAACGGGTTTTTTAATGTTCAGTTTTGCTGTTGTAACGTTTGATATAATGCTTGGGAAGTATAGTTGTTGGATGTACAATTACGCTGTTATTGTTGTGGCCAGATACTGAGCCAGCTGGCAGGATACTGGGCAACATAGGAGCTCTGCAAAAATATTAATTTCGCGATGGAAACAAAGACAAAAAAAATAAACTGTCTTTCGTCATATTAAGGACTAAATAGATTGTCTCTGGGCCAAATTTCAGAATTCGTGCGACTAAGAAAGGATAGTTATTGGGCAACATACTGTACGTTAACCCCCTCCCCCTTTGCGGGGGGAGGGGGTTAACGTTTTAGCGCCTTACGGCCATTTGCTAGTCTAAGGGGCTGCCCACACTTGGCGCTCGGGAACCAGTGCCTGGGTACCGGCACAAAATGGTGCTGTGTTCACACTTTGAGTACCCAATATGTGACTGTGTACATAGTTACTCCATTTCGCCCTGTCAGACGCCATTTTGAAACATTCGCTTAGCAGCGAGAACAAAGCAGTTGACTTTCCGGAACCTACAAAAATTGTGTGCACACAGGGACCCGGTGCCCACTTTTGTGCCCGAGTACAAGGTCAAGACCTTGTATTCGGACACCCGCACCGTGCCCGAATTCTAGCGTTGGTACTTGAAAAAAGGGTGCGTTCACATTAGTGACCAGCGAGAACCGTACTCGGGCACCATGCCCGGGCACCAAGTGTGAACGCTGCCTAAGGATTTGTTTTGGTGGACGCTGGTGGCTAGACCATGAAACACGCGCAAGTAATAGACATCTAACATAATGGAAAATCCTCCATCGCTTAACATAAACACACAGCCCTTTTCTCGAAGAAATACAAGGCCACCGAAAAAAGTACGTAAATAATTACCCCAAAGCAGACGAATTGTACGTGAATTCCCGAGGTTATATACGAATGGACTCTCGTTAAGAAAAATCATAATTTCGTCTACCCGAAATATGGATGTGCTCATAATTCATTTCCTATCTTTAGTGGTTCGTTGCCACTCTGATTTCATTGAAAATCGGTTCGATGTTTCATATTTTGTTTAAATCAGCATCAACTTTACTTTCAGCCATTGGTGTGTTCCAGCAGCAAAATATTACGGTACTAATTGGCGGGAGTCAATCGGAGTCGCACGCGTGCTCGCTGTCTACAGTTACTGGGATCCCTCTTGTTCGTCTCTATGAAACAGTTATGCCATTTAATCAGTGCGACAAAACAGTGGATATGTCAGCGAACTACAGATACTTTGCGCATGCCACATTTGACGTTCTAGCCAGCTTTCACTGGAGGAAGATTTCATTAGTGTTTGATGGTAACAAAGAGTGTCTTAGGCCCCTTTTATTTGAAGGAAAGTTGCCCTAAGTTGAAGGGTCACCGCTGCACGAAAAATTGGATTTACACAAATTTGCTCGGGGCAAATGTAGTGCAAAAAAGTGGAAACTAGGAGAAAATCAAAGGCAAAGAGGATAAATACCGCATTTGCATTCTAGTTTACATGGGGTTGCAAATTCGAGGGCAAATGCGTTGTTATCGTACATTAACCGTAGTCTGCACTTTTTTGCACCATATTTGCACTGGGTAAATTTGGTGTAAATCAAATTTTCGTGCAGTTTGCGCTCCTACTCGAGTTACCCTGGGCGGGACAATTTTTCATCATTTCCTTACAAAACGTGGCGATCCAATTAAATAGAAACAAAAAAATTGGCTCGTTACAAAACGTGGCGAACCGATTAAATAAGAAACAAAAAATTGGCTCGGCTAGAAGTGACCCGCGTAGCCTGGTCACCCTTTAGTGATGGTACTAGTAGGTCACCTTCCTAGCCAGGCCAACTTTTCTCCATATATACCCTGTGGCTCGCCCACCCGGGTCAGTAAGGTCAAGGAGGACAATCAGAGCATGTGCGAGTGCTGTTCTAGACAATCAGATCACGTGCAGAGGATGCACGAGCGCTGTTCCGGGAAAAGGGGACAAATTTTGTCATATAAATGAAACGCGCGCTAAAGTTAACTCGGCTGGGAGCTAGGGTGACCCTTCTACCCAAAACAGATTTACTCCATATAAACGGGACCTAAGTATCATCCAGTATTATTTTCTGATGAAGCAAATTTTTAGTAAAGTGTGATGTAAATGTTAATAAGATCATTCCTTTGCAGCTATATGTAGTTAGAACTCCATTTATACTTAGTATAGCTTTTCTGCAAAACCGCCTCTTCCATGGATGAAGCATTGAACGGCTTTATCTGCACCTTATGTATTACACTCACGTCTGTCCTGGAAGAAGAATTTACTCTTGCTGTATCATTTCTACAGGGCCGTCACCTCCAACGCCCATTTCCTCTGTCCCGAGTTGTCCGTTCTAGAGAATTAGACCGTATGTTAAAAATCTCTTGACATCATCTACCATATAAAAAATACGAGAAGCCAATGTTTCATCGAAACAGATGATAACTGATAAGCACTCGTGAAGTGGGTGAAAAACAGAAGGTGCAGACGAATTTGACAAACCCAGTTCGAGTGTTTGATATACCTTATCATATAACAAATCTTTCCTGCATTACTGTGAATGCCCAAACGCGAGTTTCGGGTTGCAAAAATACCAGCGATGATTTGTATGAATCTATCTACCCGAGCCTCGATCTCAGACTTTTCATTACGTGTGCACTGGAAAAACAATTTGGAAGTTTCGGAACACTTATTATAAATGAAGCATTTTTCTGAATTGCACTTCGACAGAGAATCGGTTACTTGACGCTGGTTACTTTTACGCAACTTTCCATAAGTCCAACTTGGCCATGAATTTAGTGCAGCTTACCAGCGGAAGGACAAATGAGGAACAGAGAAAGGCAGTTTTGAAAGCTACCGAGGAAATTGCAAAATTTGGTCCTCAAGTTATTCTGCTTTACACTAGCAAAGAAATAACCCAACTACTGTTGCAACAGGTAAGATAAAAAACTTTGTCTATTGTCATTCGTGTAAAACCCAACATATGATGATTTAAACTGTTGGATAGCCGAGTGTCATACCTGTCTGTCCCTAGGAAAGCTCTCTAGGCCTTTTATACGCCCTTGCAAACACATTCGCTCTCTTCTCGCAAGTCTACTCAACTTAGGTTCCAGTAAGTTTTCCCACCCTCCTCTCCTTTAGCGGCGCTGGAAAATTTTTCTTTATCCTATACCTTTTGCTAATTTTTTTCGCCCGTAACTTGTCCATCATTAGGCATATGGTGGCGTCATTTTAAAGTAAAGCTACTTCGAAAACAAATGCCATCGACTACGGCGAACTTTTAAAAAAACACTAATCGATGCATAAAGCATGTGCATTACATATAACACAGCGATAAAATATGGCGTGCGCTCAAAACCTTACCTTTAATAAATTATTTGATGTTCATCTTCTCCTTCAATAAAGATACAACGTGTTCAGGTATCAAATGGAAATGCCTAACTGCCGAGGGTAGTATGGTAGGCATAAAATTTGCCTTTTTAAGGGGGAATCTCATTAACTCTTTTGTGAGGGAATACATTTTAAAATCGTGCAGAAGGCAAACTAGCTCCATGTGTTTCGTGCTAGAAAGAGCTACGTAGTTTGCCTTCGCACTCATTAATATGCACTATTTGCGCGTCAAAATCAGTGAATCGGAGCTTGTACAATTTGTTGCCTGCAAAGGACGATGAAAGCGACAGGAAACAGGACTTGCATGTTGCATAAATACGTTACGCATCTGTGATTTTAACTTTAACTTTTTTTTAACACAGACGAGTTTGGGTTTATTCCTTGGACATCATGAATCAAAGAATCGATACCTTTCTTAGTTTCCAGTCAACCTATCAAAAAACCAAGACACTCATCGATCTCAAAGCAGCTAGGAAACCTGTCAAACCGGTTAAACCCCCTATTAATATATAGCAGATGACCTTACCATATCCCTCATTTTATTCATGTGATAAAGACAAAAGGGTTTGACGTCATCGACGTTAATTTATTCGCCGCAAGTTATTGAGATTCCCAAGGGCCTTAAAAATGTCTACTATACTACTGCCAAAAAAGGGACGAAAACTCGTTGCTAATTGCAAAAAAATAGATTATATGCGAATTGTCGAGGCTAAGAATGGGTTGACGATGTGTATGAAACACAAACGCAAACAAACCTCACACTGTTAATCTTTATACAATTGAGACGTTTACAGTATTTATGATATATCTTAAAGAGAGCTATATCATAATTCATTTCGTAAAGTTCAGTGGTTCCTAACTATTTTGGCTACTTACGATAAGAAAAGAGGAAATAGTTTGGTGTTTTACTCTGTATTTATAGGTACCCTGTGATCTGAAGAAATACTACAAATGGATCCTTCAAGGAGAGGTTTGTATTTACTGTGACATTACATCAAATATTACTTTCTGATCAACTTTTCTCAGGACGTTACTGAGGGAGTAAGCAACTCGAAGAATCAGGCTAGTTCTTTTCAATCTTCGTCAAACAATAAGGATATTGCCACCAGCAAGAGCACTTCGTTTCCCAAAAGATTCAACCAGTGAACGCCTATAGGTACACTCCGACTATATCGCTAGGGCTCCAAAAGCAACTGAAAAAGTATGGTAGCATTATTATCCAGCTCCAGAAACCTTTCCAGCGGCTTTTACCAATCATAACCTACGTTGTCGCCGGACTTGTTACTCGAGACCCAGATGGAGAACTCAGTCGATATCGGAGATCCACATTGTCTGCGACACAGGCTTATTGATCTCTGCACGGTGTGATTGACATATCTGTCGAAGCACCGATATGCTATATTATATTTTCTTTCCACTGGTTGATGAGATACTCCGCATGGCATTGCTTACGCTATCAGGATAATAGTCAGGGGCGTCACCTTCTTTGGTCTTTATCTCACATGGATTATGCCGCCCACTAAAAAGCAGTATTCCGTCATGCAGGAAACAACGTCTGATACTTTGTTATAGCAAAGTGTTACTTCCTTGATAGCATCGAAAAATAATAGCAAATTGCTATGTGCACTTAAGGTTTCAGGATACTTGTAATAAAACAACATATCTGAATACCTGTTTACTTTTTACCTAGGTATCCTTCAACCTCGCCAGTCTTCCAAACAATGTCGTTTTAGCTTTTAAGCTTCCATACGTACCCGATGCAATTCCTGGCATTAATCTCCAGAATTTCAACGAGGTAAGCTACACATGCGTGACGCCAAAGCCCTAAGAACGCCTGCGTAAAAGGCCAATTGAACCTACTTGTCTTTATCTGTTGTACCTTACTAATTTCTCTCTCGGTAAAAATGCCAAGTAATAGCTCTTTCGATAGCGGAGCTCCCGCGCGAGAATTAAAGCGGGCGTAGCGGAGCACCATGGGTAATAAAATTTGGTTACCTATGCATCCAAGTAATTTGGGCTGTAACAAAATCGTCCCCTTTCGGTATTAAACTGATGATATAATTGTAATTTAAGTGGGTCGAGGGTCTCAGATTCTGATGAAAAAAAAATTAGCTCCTTGATGCATGTTTATGTCTTGTTCGTAAAAAAACAGTTGAGTGTGGCTGTTGGCACAAAAAAAAACAATAACATCAAAAATGAATGCACGATTATTGAAGAAATATAGCGAGTAATTAAGCAGTTATTAACAGTTTATGTAAAATCTCCTTCTGTAGGATCTTACTTCTGTTCAGGCATATGATGCGGTTCAAGTCATTTACCAAGCGTTGAACAAAGAGCCGTGTTTATCGCTAAACGAGTCTAGTAACAATCAAAGGGATAAAGATCTCATATTTAACTGCATGACAAAGGTACTGACTTCATATATCTTGATTAGTTTTGCAGTTCTTAAAAATAAATCCATGGCTCATTCTCAATTTTCACTCTCTGAGTAGCTTAATCTTCCTCGTCAAGGATCGACTTAATTTTCAACTTCACTGGAGGGCACATTTCCCCAATGTTCAGGTAGCCTAAAAGTGAGGATAAATGACATTTAATCTAGGGGAAAAAAACATTAGAACCTAGAATTTACCACCTTGTAAAAACTGTTTAAAGCTGCATGAAAAGCACTGGTTTTAACATCCGTATATTTTTCCTGATATGAAAAAAAACAGCCTAATGTCGTTAATGTCGTTATTGGACTTTCAAATGACCCGTGAACTGTTAATTTCAATAGGGAAAAATCGAGGCAACCTGGCAAACTGGTTTTTAATCGATTGATTAGTTGGTTGACTGATTGATTGATTGATTGATTGATTGATTGATTGATTGATTGATTGATTGATTGATTGATTGATTGAGTGAGTGACTGAGTGAGTGATTGATTGATTGAGTGAGTGAGTGAGTGAGTGAGTGAGTGATTGATTGATCGATCGATCGATCGATCGATTGATAGATCGATGGACTGATTTTAAAATAGGTTTATTGTTTGTTTAATTGATTGGAATAATTTGTCGTTCGGCATCCGCATCGGAGATGTGGTGTTCAGTTTCAGAAGATAAAGTTATGCCAAGCACTCGATCTCTTCAGAGAGATCTCAACTTTTCCATACAAATTTAACTATAACCTTCGGTTTTATTCTTTGTTAAAGGTTGATATCGCTGGCATAACTGGTCCTGTCCAGTTTGACGAGAACGGAAGGCGAATAGTCTCGCGACTGGAAATCCTTAATCTCCGCAACGACACCTTCAAAAGGGTAAGTAGTATGAAGGGTATGAATAATCATATTTTGTTCTGCGCATTGTTTATTCAGACTGAGTTTTTTTGAAAACGAAAGACAGTCTCTCAACTGGATAT